AAAGATTGTGTAACTAATTGAGGTTCACTTCTCGCATCATATGAAATTAATTTTTTAACACTTAATGGTCTTTGTGGATTTGTAATATAATCAAAAGATTCCATATTTGGTTCAGGTACCATTAAAAATTCTAAAGTTTGTAAATTGACGCAACTTACTAATACTGATAATAATAAATCAAATTCGGTTAAATTTGTTAAAGTGAGATGAGTAATTGAATGTGCTTGACTTTGAAGAGATGAATAAAATACTGCCGTATATGTAAATTCATCCCAAAATTCTTCTATATCTAAAAATTTTAGCTTATCCTGAGAACTAATTAATTCAAATACTGATGGACAAACTATAAATGGTGGTGGTGGTGATCTTCGAAATGGATCAATAGATATTGTAATATGTGAAAGAGACCTAGTGTAAGTAGCAAGTTGACTACAAATTAATGCCTTATATTCGGAATTTAATATCCATTTCTCTTCATCATCATTATCAAATTTTAATTCAAATCTTTCAAGTTCACTAAATGCCTCATAATAATAATTATAATTACTTTCTTTATCAAATATTTCAGTATTTAAATTCACAATGTTCATTAAACAACTATCCTCTATCTCTCCTCGATCAATTTTTAAAACTCTTAATCCATTAGTTCTACTAAGCAATAAGTTTCCTATGATTCTATTACATAATTTAATTCTAATCTCATAATCTGAATCCATTGTTAAACATACCATCATCATCCATTCTTCAATAGCACGATCAAAATTTTCATTATCAAATCCGCGCAAGTATTTTGGATAATCAAATATAGGATTTGGCATATCAGGTAATTGAATTCCATGATCAATTAATTGAGCTTTATCATGAAAATTGAGACATGAAATATATGTATGTAATATTTTTACTTCTTTACCAATCATTTGATGTTCAAATGGTCGACACCAAAGTAATGGAATTGAAGTTTTACACCATATTCTATTTACCATAACACATGAATATAAAGTCGCTCGATCATTTTTTAAATAATCAATAATGTTTATAAGACAATCTAAAGAAAGTGGATA